TCGAGCACATGCGATCAGGATCAGGCGAGGATTCTAGAGCATACCCTGCAAATGCAAATGGACCATCTCGTAATGGCCTGTGTTGAATGTTTCCGGGGTCTTGACTACGAAGTCGATTTCGTGGCAAAGCTACCGAGTTGGGCACCTGATCTTGAAGAAGTGAAGATAGAATGGAAGGGTCAAACAGATTGCAGCATTGTTCTTGCCAAGCTATTAGCTCTGCCGAGGGTGTCTCCCAGGGCCAAGGTCCATTGTTACATTTTGTTAAGAATGCTCCCCCATCGCTTTGCCGATGTAATTTGCTGCTGAGTTCATGTGAATGTACCAGCTACGGCTAGCTGGTGGTTATATGTGTGCATCTAATGCAAATCATCAGGTAGAGGTTGTGTGTGTTGTCGAGGACATTGTGTGGGAGTATTTAATGTGCCACCAGCATGTGTTTTCCATATGAAACATTTGAGGAAGTTTTCCATATAAAACGCTATCATCTTGTGTTTTTGCAAGCAGTATTTACATGTTTATCAATGCAATCCCCGTGGTACAAATATGTGGTTATAGCGAAACAAATCATGTGATCAGGTGAAAAAACATCTGTGCCTGCTTGCCAGACAAAGCACCCAGATCAAAGGAGCAGCGGATTCTATCTACAGCCAGTCACCGAACATCAGTTGAGGTACGCTGTGACTATACCATGAATTTTGCTCTTGATTCCCCATGGGAGTAGTTAGATTGGGTACATCTGGTTGTAATATTTATACAGTCATAAATCAGAGATCTGGACATACTCTGCTCTTGGTTGCAGCAGCTTGTACTTAGCTCCAGTGATCTTAACATGCTCACGAGGCAACATCTACACTGAAATTCTGAGGCTCCAGCACCCAGATCTGATGGAAGGAATTGTGGTGGGCACTGCCACTGGGGTGCTGAATTCCCTCCTCAGGAAGCTCGCGGAACTGATGAGTGACGAGTACAAGCTGCAGAAAGCTGTGAGGAGCAAAATCAGCTCACTGAAACTCGGCTGAGCAGCATCAATGCTTTTCTCAGGAAGTTGTCTGACAGGGAGGAATGGAGAGACCAGGTGAGAGAGATGCCCTATGAAATCGAGGACTGCATCGATAACTAGTTAACTACATGGACAAGCTCGACCATGAGCTGGATAAAGTAGGGTGGTATCATGGGCTTCATCCCCAAGAGCATCGGCAAGGTGAAAAATATTGGAGCTATCCATGGGATCTCTGGTCAGCTTGAGCAACTCAAACTCAAGTCGTGGAGACAAGCGAGCGATAGAAGAGGCTGTTGTGGGATGATGCGGCCAATTCTGGTGTCTCAAGAAAACAATTGACCCTAGAATGCCCACTCTGTATGCTGAGGCTACTGATCTTGTTGGTATTGTTGATAAAAGGGATGAGCTCATTTAGTTGGTGGCTGACCTAGAGGAGAAACAGGTTCGAGAGAGAAGTCTCTAATGAAAACTATGGCCTCCGGGTCTTACTTTTATATCATATATAAAAATCAAAAATACCTTGCTGCAATTTATTTATTTTTTATTTGTTTTGCAATTTATTTATCTACCACTACAAGATTTGATCCTTACAGGTAACGAGTTCAAGGGGATTGATAGCCTTGTTGCTCGCGTTGGGTGCAACTAATTGATTTTGTGTGTGCAGGTGCTGTTCACAAGGCTTTGCGTGATTATCCTATTGAATTAATACCTTGGTTCTATTGAGCAGAATATTTATCTTTACTATGCTGCATCTCTTCTCATCTTCGGAAAAATCCCAATGCAGCTCACAAGTAGCACGTATCATCAAAGTTTGAATTCACTCGTCCGGATCTAAAACTTCATCAACACATATGCATGGAGGAAATATGAAACTCTAACTTGGGTATTTCGTATACCCCAGGCAAGGCTAATGTAATGGCCTATGCCTTGAGTCTCAAAGTCACATTGCAGCAACCTCATGGTACAACAAGGACAACCCCTTCTTCATTAAGAACTATGGAAGTTGAACCTCCATATTGTTGTCCGAGTTTCTCTCAATACCCTGGTTGTTGAACCAAATCTCGTGGGCGACATAAAGAGAATTCAGAAGTTTGACTCTGAAGTCTCTAAGATTAAGCGCTATCTCACAGGAGAAAAGCCCTCATTCTTCATCATTAATGATGACCAAACCTTGTACTTCAAAGGTCGCTTAGTCGTTCCCAGAGGAGATAACCTTGACATGAACCAGGATGTCATGAAAGAAGCTCATGACACACCTCTGTCTATTCATGCGGGTAGTACCAAGATGTACCAAGACATTCACCAGAGATTCTGGTGGTCCAACATGAAGCAAGACATTGCTCGCTATGTTGCTGAATGTGACGTTTGCCGTCGTGTCAAAGCAGAACATCAACAACCTGCTGGAACTCTGCAACCTCTTGCTATTCCTGAATGGAAATGGGACAATGTTGAGATGGACTTCATCACTAGATTTCCAAAATTGCAGAAGGGTCATGATGCTATTATTGTCGTCATTGATCGACTTTCCAAGGTTGCTCACTTTCTAGCCGTCAAGAAAATCATCACTGCTAGTCAGCTGGCAATTCTATATGTTTTCAGAATTGTTTCACTCCATGGTATTCTGTTGGTAATCAGTTCATACCGTGGCAGCCTTTTCACTTCAAGATTCTTGTGAAGTTTCTAGGAAGCTATGAGAACTCATCTGACCTTTAGCACTGCTTTCACCCTCAGTCCTAGGGTTAAGTTGAACGAGTCAACCAAATTCTTGAGGACATGCTTCGAGCTTGTGTCATTTCCTTTGGCAAGAAATGTGAGGAATCTCTCCCCTATGCTGAATTCTCATACAAAAATAGCTATCAAGCTAGTCTGTAGATGGCACCCTTCAAAGTATTGTATGGACAAAAGTATCGAACTCCTCTGAATTGGTCAAAAACTAGGGAGTGGCCACTCTTCGGTCCGGATATTATCCAACATGACGAAGAACAAGTCCGCGTTATTCGCAAGAATCCGAAGACTGCTCAGTATCGTCAAAAGAGTCCGTACGACCATCATCACCAAGAAATGGTCTATCAATCTGGTGAAAAGACTTATCTTTGGGTCACACCGATGACAGGTGCTCACTGTTTTGGAATCAAGGGAAAGCTAGCTCCTCGCTACATTGGTCCTTTCCCAATTCTCGGAAGATGTGGAAAAGTGGCATATCAATTCGAACAGTCGTCGAACCTTTCTCAGGTTCATGATGTCTTCCATGTGTCACAGCTCCGCCACTGCTTGAAGGATCCTACCTGAGCAGTGGATAATGAAGTACTTGAATTGTAAATAGACCTCTCTTATAAAGAGCATCCGGTCTGCATTCTTGATCAAGTTGAACGTCACACCCGTCAAAAGGCAATCAAGTTCCTAAAAGTTCAGTGGTCTAACCATTTTGTAGATCAAGACACTTGGGAATGCGAGGATGAAAGTGCAACTATACCTAGGTGGTTTTGGTAATTCCTAACAACATATAGCTCATTGAGCTAACATTATTCCAAGATTAATATTTCAGGAAAAGCTCAATGAATGCCATGACATGGATGAGGAAAGTGGATCCCTCAAAATTCTAAGGACAAAAAGTTTGGCTCAAGCTTGAAGCTCAAGACTCTACATTTTATATTTTAGTGATCCAAGATCACATTGAGTCTATAGGAAAAGCCAATACTATCAAGGAGGGATGAGGTGTTGCTTAATGGCTTGCTTTCTCAAAATGCTTAGTGATATGCTCCAAAACCCTCAACTACCTTCCCACATCCATATATGACCTAAACCAAAAGTCAAACTTGGCCCCACCGATTCTTTCTATCCGGTGCCATCGAGTTCAAATGTCATAGCCACTGCCACAAACCCTAGGCAAATCGGTCTCACCGATAGGGATCTCGGTCTCACCGAGATGGGATTGTAATCTCTCTGTTTCCCTTTGTAACGTTTCGGTCTTACCGAGATGACCGATCGGTCCCACCGAGATTGCAATGTAAACTCTCTGTTTCCCTTTTGTAACATTTCGGTCTCATCAAGATGAGCGAATCGGTCCCACCGAGTTTACCTGACCAACTCTTTGGTTAGCTTATTACCAAAATCGGTCCCATCGATTTTGTGTAATCGGTCACACCGAAATTATGTTATGCCCTAACCCTAACCATATCGGTCCTATCGAGTTGCATCTCAGTCCCATCGAAAATCCTAACGGTCACTAGGTTTGCTGAATCGGTCCGACCGAGTTTAACCATTCGGTCCCACCGAGTTTGGCAAATTGTGTGTAACGGTTAGATTTTGTGTGGAGGCTATATATACCCCTCCACCCACTCTTCATTCGTGGAGAGAGCCATCAGAACATACCTACACTTCCAATACACATTTTCTGAGAGAGAACCACCTACACTTGTGTTGAGGTCAATATATTCCATTCCAACCATATGAATCTTCATCTCTAGCCTTCCCAAGTTGCTTTCCACTCAAATCTTCTTTCCACCAAATCCAAATCCTGTGAGAGAGAGTTGAGTGTTGGGGAGACTATCATTTGAAGCACAAGAGCAAGGAGTTCAT